ACATGGGTACAATGCGTGAAGCCAAATTCCTGGTATCCCCAGCCGTGATATTGCTGGAATATTGCTAAAAGCGGTGTAAAACTGAGATTCACACACTCAATATCTAAATCCATATTCAATGTGTAATATTTCTAAGAAATATAGCAACAATAGTTATGTATTTTACTTATTATTGTAACACGAGTGCACAAATAAATAAAATAATCGTGCTGACATTTACATCCAAATTCAATGTCTTGTTATTAGCTGTGTCGGTGAATGAATTTTGTTTTACTGTGGTTATTCGCGGAGGAAATGTGTCTCAACGGAAGCACCATCTTGGATATCATCTAAAGAAATGAAACTCGAAAGAAATAGTACAAAATTGGTGTTACAAAGGAAAGGGACTTAAATTTAACTTAAATCGAATTGAATAAAACATGTTATTATTGTCCCTTACAGGGCATACGATCTCAAGGCGTAGGATTTAAGTGATGAGTATTATAAATGAATCCTACGAAAACCATTAATGTCAACCTATTCATTTTGATTCAAAGGATGTGCCAACATTTCGGGCATTCCTCCCACGTTACGGTGATACCCCCCACCCCACCCTGTCTTCATGAATTAAAACTTAGTGCTTTTATATTAATCGGACGCTCACTAATATCGTTTGAGTGGTATATATTTGCCTTCACCTACATTTACAGTATAACACCCCTCCTCATACACCCCCCCCCCTCTCTTTTAACCTGTGAAGATCCGGGTTAGAATTGGTCTTCAACAACCCATGCTTGTCGTATGAGGCGACTAACGGGATCGGGTGGCCATGCTCGCTAACTGGGTTGACACATGTCATCGTATCCCATTTGCGTAGATCGGGGTTCATGCTGTTGATCACTGGATTGTCTGGTCCAGACTCGATTACTTACTGACCGCCGCCATATAGCTGGAATATTGCTGAGTGCGGCGTTAAACAACAAACCAGTCTCTTTCTCTATGAGAATCTTTCATTATGCATCGTAACGATGTTTCAAGTCAACTGATGATTTTAATATTCTCCAAGAACATTCGGGTGATTTCTGAACATTAAGCCACTTTCTGTATATTTAGCTTGTTTAGTACTGAAAGAGGCCAATGTTCTTGATGTGATGGTACAGACGATGAGAACTTCATGACACATACAGCATCTATTACGACTTACAACGTCCTAAGTACCTGAGAACCCGTATGGGTGACAGTCTCAAAATTACCCAAGCTGGACAAATGGCCCATTTCAGACTTCTGTTTCGAAGTTACCTGTCACACAAAACACGTCACAATAAAACACCGAGATGACCTGACTAGAATTTCGTCGTGGGCGTGACACTACACCTGAGACAATGTCCGACAGTACTTAGACAATCCAGAGGATGGTGGTAACCAATATGCTTGACGGTTTCAATGGGACTATAGTCTGTTTGCAGTGACAACGTACCGATGAATTTCACTTTAAACAAAAAAGTAAATCAAATAATGTGAAATTAAGATTGCGAATCCTCATAACTTTACCTTGCCAATTGAACATTAAAATCTCAGAATTTTATTCAACTTATGATAAAAGTTGTTTAACAAACGATCATAGTTTCAAATCGCTATTATTGGTATGTATTACAATGTCCATTCTTTCAAGGCTCCCCCCTGATATAAGGTATTTATATGACCCCGATGCTAGAGACTCGCAAGTTTGGTGACCGTCTTCACCTCCAACCCTATAATAAATGACCGATCTATTACCGATTGGTAATTACAAACTTTCATGTATTCAATACTGAAAGAATTTGACCCGTGAAGATGCAGGTTAGAATTTGTATTCATCAACCCATGCTTGTCGTAAGAGGCTTATATCTGGATCGGGTGATCTGGATCGGGTGGTCAGGCTCGCTAACTTGGTTGACACATGTCATCCTATCTCAATAACGGTGCTCATGCTGTTGATCACTGGATTATCTGGTCCAGACTCGATTATTTACAGACAGCCGCCATATAGCTGGAATATTGTTTTGAACGGCGTTAAACAACAAACAAACACAATCTGATAGGATTGGTCTCGTTGAAAAGAAATGATGTTCAGATACATCAAATCTGTTTGTTTCGCATCTGATGAAAACAGATGCGGAACACGATATAACTTCAATCAACCTTATTACCTTCAAGCTGTTCGCAGATTAATATTGTCAAACAACAGACTATATAGAAGTACGTTCTTTCGCTACATCTCATACGAGTGATATCCATTGTCATCTTTCTTTCTAACAGGGTTCATGAATAATCACTGGAAGTAACGATGAAACTGATTGTGATCATGACTGTATTTCTGAATGGATAAAGGGCCGTGTTTGTGTTTGATGAGGTTGACTTATGTTCTCCCGTTTGTGATGCTGCAGCAGCTGTGTACATTGTTATGTGGATTTATTTAGTATCAAACAGAACGACACATACATCTTTTATCACGTATGTATCGCAAAGAATATATTTATTTGACCAGCACGTGTACACTAGTTCCCTGTAAACTACTTATTAATCAAGAGGTGAACACATAAAATACACTCACATTGAGGACCATTACTAGGAGGGTCGACAATTTTGAACATAAAAATATTTAAACATTATGGGAAGGGAGAAGGGGTGGGGGTGGGGGGTGTGTGTTAATCGATTTTGTACGTGACATGCAGGGTGGGAGGTGTCACTTACTTTGTACATAAATTTTAGTGGGGGTGGGGATGGGGTGGGGTGTCATTCACATTGTACATGCTTCTCCATAAAATCATCATCACCCCCCGACCAATAAATTATGATCCGTCCCTTATCACAAAAGATTCCTTCCCACCTGGCCACGGATAGGCAACGTTCAATGAGGCGAACTAAATACGTTCAAGTTCCTTAAAATATAAATGTGAAATACACAACCCATTTTAGCTGCCAAAATATTGTGTACAGTGTATAGACACTATATGTGGAATGGGATTAACGATCTAAAAGTGGATTTTAAAAAGTATCTTGTGAAGCTGACGCATATTATCGCCGCTAATGCACCAGCGTCAAGAAACATATTAATAATTTACCAATTATTTTCAGGAAAAAAGGATGATACATTTGTGCGGCGCCATATGGGCGTTGTTGTAGTGTTCGTCTTCTCTAATAAAGGACATTAACTGACAGTGCACCGTATGCCTGGATAAAGATACGGTCTAATAGGCCAGCTTACGTCAGCTGGTGAGTGAGCATTATTTTAAAATAATTTAATTTATTTGGGGTATAATTTTTAATATCGTTTCAGTTATTTTCGCATCATTATCGACATGGTATCAGTATTCATCATTCACAACGGAAACATTAAATTTGGTTCCGTGTGTTTAACTTTTCAAAATGTTCAAATGTTTTTAGCTTTTCAGTTCCTGACAATGATTGTCTACTGTCTCATTGCTTCAACATGGCTGATACCAACTTGATGCTTTTCATAAGCGTAATCTCGAGGTTTGGTTTAAACAGCGTAGAAAATATAAAACTACCTTTAGTAATTTTATACCGACGTATGAGACATTGGAACTGCTTACAGTAACTTTATTTACACATATGCGACATTGGAAGTTGGAACTACGAATAGTACTTGTATATAGAGATATGAGACATTATAACCAGCTATAGTACTAGTATATAACCGCATGAGACATTTGAACTACCTATAGTAATTGAATATAGAGATATGAGACATTATAACCAGCTATAGTACTAGTATATAACCGCATGAGACATTTGAACTACCTATAGTAATTGTATATAGAGATATGAGACGTTATTACTAGCTATGGTACTAGCATATAAACACATGAGACATTTGAACTACCCAAAGTAATTGTATATAGAGATATGAGACGTTATTACTAGCTATGGTACTAGCTTTAAACACATGAGACATTTGAACTACCCAAAGTAATTGTATATAGAGATATGAGACGTTATTACTAGCTATGGTACTAGTATATAAACACATGAGACATTTGAACTACCCAAAGTAATTGTATATAGAGATATGAGACGTTATTACTAGCTATGGTACTAGCTAAACACATGAGACATCTGAACTATCAAAAGTAATTGTATATAGAGATATGAGACATTATAACCAGCTATAGTACTAGTATATAAACACATGAGACATTTGAACTACCCAAAGTAATTGTATATAGAGATATGAGACGTTATAACTAGCTATAGTACTAGTATATAAACACATGAGACATTTGAACTACCTATAGTAATTGTATATAGAGATATGAGACATTATAACTAGCCATAGTACTAGTATATAAACACATGATACATTTGAACTACCCAAAGTAATTGTATATAGAGATATGAGACGTTATAACTAGATATGAGACTACCCAAAGTAATTGTATATATATGAGACATTTTTAGCTATAGTACTAGTATATAAACACATGAGACATTTGAACTACCCAAAGTAATTGTATATAGAGATATGAGACATTATAACTAGCCATAGTACTAGTATATAAACACATGAGACATTTGAACTACCCAAAGTAATTGTATATAGAGATATGAGACATTATAACTAGCTATAGTACTAGTATATAAACACATGAGACATTTGAACTACCCAAAGTAATTTTATTTAGAGATATGAGACATTATTACTAGCCATAGTACTAGTATATAAACGCATGAGACATTTGAACTACCTATAGTAATTGTATATAGAGATATGAGACGTTATTACTAGCTATGGTACTAGCTAAACGCATGAGACATTTGAACTACCCAAAGTAATTGTATATAGAGATATGAGACGTTATTACTAGCTATGATACTAGTATATAAACACATGAGACATTTGAACTACCCAAAGTAATTGTATATAGACATATAAGACGTTTAAACTACTTAAAGTACTTCAAATTAGGTATGTGACATAACCATAACGAATGGGTGATAAAGTCCTCTAATTCACTTACCCTTTGTAATTCTTGTAAACAGGTAGACCGAATCCTTTCCTCCTCGAGCTTTTCCGGTACATCCGCAAAAATTTTGAATATGGAACTCCATCGTATGTAGAGAAGGGGAAGCTTTCGTTGTTTATTCTATTAAGAACACGTAGAAAATTATCCAGTTTTGGGTCGGAATAATTAGATTTGAACGTCCTTGGGTTCGAACTCATATTCTTGTTTTCTTGCACGTGTTTTAAGGTTTTCTCTGACTCTCCTTCGTGGGCCTTCTGTGGAGGCATATAGTTGAGTTTATAGGGTTCATGGTCACCCACCCCGACACCCACCCCGACACCCTCCCCCTCGGGGCTTGTGTCACTGGTGTAGTTACTCTTGTTCAGTCTCTTCCGCCAAGCGGGCAGGTGGGCCAATCCGGCCGAGTCCCCGAAGTCCTGGACGGGGTGGGGCTGGCTGCCCCCACCCCCTTCCACGAGGGTGGCAGTGTTGGATAGTCTCAGTACAATCAGAGTGTTGAGACAGAGTACAGTTGTACAGATGACACACACTACAGCAGAAACTTTCCGTCTACAACGAGGCATTGCTTCCTTCACATATCAACTCATGTTGAACGTTTCTCCCTCTGTCTATATACCGACTCAGCTATACCAGCGGTGAGTGCAGCTAAACTCCTCACACCGCCACACTTCACACCGGACTGACAGCACGGCGTATTCTCCGCTCAGGGTCAACCTACCAGAGTCACTGGAGTGGAGCTTCTCTACTCGCCTCAGTGGCTTGCTTCACATCAGGCTATCCGCTCGCCTCCCAGCGTTCCCAGAACCTCTCTGGATGTTGATCTGTGGGGAAAATGAAAGAGCGTGTTTGAAGACTTACTAGGTCAGTAGCTATGGTTAGTGTTTACACAGCCAGCTGACCCCGCGAGCAAGCCACACTGATAAATGCAGACAACCAGAAGATAAACCGGTTTGGGGCAAAAAACATCATATAATGCAAGATTAGGCCACTTGGATGGATATAAAACGCTTTTTGCACGATTAAGCTTCTACTTAAACTTAAAACCGAGGAGAGACGTATTTGCTAGTTCGACAAGGAGAACATAAACTACATCTACTTGAACCTGGGGTTGATTCGTTACGACAGATTCACATAGCTCGCAGCGTGAGTGTATCCCTTTGAAATATTTGGCCGCATACTGCTTTTGTTGCAGGGTTGATCAATAAGCCCCGTGCAGAAATAAGGGTAATCAGGCATGCTTTTTGACTAATAAAGTGTGAATATATATACATATAATTAAATATCAGTATGTGTGTATACGACCAGAAAATGTATGAAGTGAAACCACGTGGATTCTGAAAACGCTCTCACGTGAAGTTCCTCTATCTCTTGGTACATTATGAATGATTAGACTTTACGTTCAGCGGCTGATGTCATTCTGACTTGGGTAAACTTCCCAAAAATATCCCCCTTTCTGACTCCAGACACGAGTCTAATTAAAACCAAGTGCTGATTGGGAATAACATATTGTTTATCTGATTCTACCCACATGGGCACAATGTGTGAAGCCCATTTCTAGCGTCCCCAGCCGTGATATTACTGGGATATTGCTAAAAGCGGCGTAAAGCTAAACTCACTCACTCTAAATTGTCCTGGCTAACCTTTCATCCCCGTTGATAAGGAATAATTGACATTGTGCACCAAAGTAGTTTTCGTAGTGATATATGTTGAAAGATTCTATTCATTTTATTTAAATTTATTGATGCTTTAAAAATTAAATTTGAATTGTATTAACGAAAGGCACCACAATAAAAGTCTTTTTACTTAAGCGAAACAAACACAGCAGTTGAACAATGGAAGGTTGTTCAAAGGTAATTATAATTCTTTGTTTTTACAAAGGTTAAAATAACATTGTTTGTTCTTTCAATATTCCTGGGCTTCAGTTCACGCTAAATATTGACACAGTCGGAAGGACAGTGTTTATATTTGACTGAATTTGGCGTCTTGACGTGGTGTTTGTTTTTATTCCATAATTATTAGAAAAAAATAATTTCAACAAGAAATCTCATTACAAGACTAGAAAACAAAACTATGTGTTTTACAATGTATGCATACATAACATAGTTCGTGTTAATATTTGCAGACATGTTAATATGTGAGATATTCCAATTTTTTACTTTATACATGAAGGCTCGTTGTTTAGCCTTAGCTATGTTACCTGATACCAAGACAATGTCCATTTCTACTCATTAAATATCTCTGGTTATTAAATAAAAAAATCAAAATTATGATTTTTCACATACACTTCCCATCCCTCTGGATCCTCATATGAAATCGCAAGTCCAACTTGAGCAGATGAATAAATCCATAAAGCGTTCAATAACTGCTGTTATTGACCACCTCATTATGTTCAATTTTGGATCAGAGAGAAGATACACTTACACAGTTCCGATTGTGAATTCCGAAATATCACGAAGACTGTACTATTGATCATTACTTGTTATTATTTCCATACACGAGGACATCTGATAGTCATTGTTATATCCAAATACAAGTTGGTATATCAAGCCGATTTCTAATTCTTCATCCGAGATTCGTGTAAACACATGAAAACATCCGATTGTTTAATCCATCCCGATGTATATATGCCATACGTGACACATTCCAGTGACCACACGAAACATTCCGATTGTTTCATTTCCAAACTCACTGTGTTTGAATACGAAGTAATGCAGTCACGAACCGAAGTTAGGAACGTCTTTTCACAAACAGACAAATTTCAACAAAAACATAGCTTCGGAAACGGAATGAAATTATGTAGAGGATTTCATCGGAGTTGTTCAAACTACAACAAGCATGGCACTCTGCAACGGTCGACCTTTCAGCCTGGGGACCGAGCAACCAAAAGATGTGGGATAATTTTGTTGAGGGTCTGGAGTGAAAAGAACACTCACAATGGTTATTTAAGTGTTGATTATGGAAACGTTATGCTTGAGTGCCCCTCTAGAAAGAACCCGCGGAGAAATTTCAAAAGATAAGAATTGACAAACTAATTACGCTCTGTCGCCATCCAATCAGAGAGCGGATTAAGTCTGAAATCCGACTTCACTCCGTCTCATGCACGCTCCTTCTTCGGAGTCAAAGGCTGCATCTTGGTCGGGATTCAGCACAAACTGAAAGCAATTTCTGCCAGGTCGTGGTTTTAATTAACATCAGCTTGTACATCATGCCTGCTTAATGCCCGATTTTAAAGAAATTACTACCGTGTCAGTTCTATAGCAAGGGGGGTAACCGGAGACAGGCTGAAACCTGATCCACGCTTAATCAGCTGGTAATCGCAGTAAAGGAGGTCAAATTTTGTGAGAATACTCCAACATCAAAAGAGTTATCTCCCATGATTCAGACCTTTTCAAGCACTTCTTTACTAGCATACGTTCTATTACTCAGACCTATTGAATGTTTTAAAATGCTACTGCAGAGTGTACGCTTGATGTAGATAACGCCACACCCGAATGAACCCTATTTGGGAGACGCTCGAGACAGGCCATTAACGCAGGTGAGTAGGTGTCCTCTTCATCGAAATGGCTTAATCAAATATTAATGTGAACGCACGGTGGAGATGCTTAATCAAGGACCGTTCCTTCACCCCCTGGTTGGGGATGTTGGGTTTGAGAACCAACTGCTCCAGTTGATAATTTACTTATGTAAAACCTGATTAAAAATAATTATCCTACACTTTACTGGAACAAATTAATTGTATATTGAGTGGTCGAACCCTGAAGCATGATGGCAAATCCAGTCAGTGGTTCAATCCCTTGAAAAGTGAAAACGTTAAAATATGTTACTTGTTGCTACCTTGTGTGACAGGTCGGCTCCGAATCTGTGTCTTACCCGCAAGCTATGGGTTAGCACTAATAGGCTATAAGCAGTCCGCGAAATCACGCGACGCGGTACGACGCGACGCGACTTACGCTCTCTTTGTCGGAGTGAGTAAGGTTTCGCACGGCTTTTAGCAATATTCCAGCAACATCACGGCGGGGGACACTAGAAATGGGCTTCAACATTGTACCCATGTGGGGAATCGAACCCGGCTTTCGGCATGACGAGCGAAAGCTTTAACCACTAGGTACAGCACCGCCCCTCTGTGCCTCGGAGGATACGTCAAGCCTCATACGATTAAAATAATAACTAGTCTAAACACAACGCCGTTTAAGCACAATGAGTAGTAACGTCGTAAAAGTGTGGTGAAATCATTGACATGCTGTGAAGTTTGCAATACAAGTAGGACAACCAGTGCAAACTCCTCAACAAATCTCAGGACATTACAAGGTGTTCATTGTCCATAGTCATCCTACAAGTACGTTGTTCGCTCACGAGTGAAACAACCTAACAACATTAAGACAAACACACTCCTAAACACTTAAATACTTACAAACCACTTCTCTTATAATACAATAGCTCAATCCAGGGAGCACTCGCCTCGATATTTAAGTGAGTCTTCAGTAAAACAATAGCCTTACAACGAATGTAACGATTGATCTAGAGCTCCAAGGCTCTATGGAAATGGTTAACTAACTGAGTTTAAATCATTATTCCTGGATGATATATAGTATGACCAGAAATTATTGAGAATTTTAAGAATATGTTTAATTGGGTTCTAGTATAAACAACCTTGACCAGCTATCAAGTGCTTGGTTTCATTCAAGAGAGACAACTCCGTTAATCATTTTTCATTAGTTCGTGAAGAGTTACCCCCCTTTGTTTACTTGCTAGCAGACGACATTTTCAGTGATCCTCAGTTTGGATGATTTATAGAAGAGGGAGTTGATTTTAGAGTGTTATAACAATGACATGAGATCAGCTAAGTGATTTCAAGTAGAACAGGCATCTTTGTCCACTGTTTATCATGTTTTGAAAAATATTGCAAATGGATATGGCATTGAGCACCAGGGAGGCGCAGGTAGGCCGAGAAAATTGACTGTCGGTGACAGGAGGCGGCTTGGTATTCTTGTTTCTAAAAACAAACGAAGGAGTTTAGAAAACTTAAGGCTGGATATGATTGATAGAGGAACTGTGGATGTCTGTAAGGAGACAATTAGAACTGAGCTGCATGCAATGGGTTGGCAGAAAAGTCGAGGAATTCCATCACCGATCATGAAACCTGAACAAAAGGAGCGAAGGTTTGAACTGGTGCTTACGGCATAGAAATGTTAACTGGGACAATGTGATTTTCTCAGATGAAAGTTCTGTGTGGCTGTTTCCTAATACACTGAAATTCTGGACCAAACAAACTGAAAAACCTTTGTATCAGCGCCCAAAGTACAGTCCGAAATTTAACGTGTGGGGTGGCATATCTGTGTTAGGGGCAACTCCCCTCTGTGTATTTGAAGGGAATATGAACAGTGAGCCATACACAGATATTCTCGAGGAACATTTACTTCCATCTGCTCACGTGTTCTATGGAAAATGTCGGATTTTCCAGCAGGACAACGACCCAAAACATCGTTCAAAGCATTCACAGGCCTGGTTTCGGACCCAAAATATGACATTATTAGATTAGCCAAGCTATATCCCTGACCTAAATCCAATAGAAAATGTTTGGGGACCTATGAAGGAAAGTGTCAATAAGAAAATCTGACAAATATTGCTGAAATAAAAGAAGAGGTGGTCCGATATTGGGACAGCATGGACCACGACTTTTTAACTTCTTTGATCAGTAGTATGCCCCGCCGCACTGAAGCCTGCATTGCTGCCCATAGTGACTTGACAAAATACTAACTGTTCATCTGTCTTTGAATCTGGACTTATGTTCTGCTAATATTCACATTTAATACGTGAGTAATGAGTGAAAAAAATAAAAAATTACAATCTTTAAATTCTCAATAATGTTTGGTTGTACTGTAAATAATGAGAACAGATTGGCCCTATGAAGACTGGCGTACTGTCGGCGTACCTAGACTAGCTTATGATAAGGATAGAATGACTACACATTCTACTATACTTGAACGGTAATCGTTGTGAAGAGAACGGCTCAAAGCTATTGTTGAATCAGAACTCATTATTTGATCACGTGCTCTACATATTTGTTATAACGATTAAGTGCAGTGTAGACAGAACATTTCGCCATGCAGCACGTGCATTTCCTAAAATTCGCATATTTGAAATGGTTTTAGATGCCCTCTTTACCCCTTAAGTTATCACCACGTTTTCCACGAATGTACATTCATTCGGCACTTTGCAGGTTATGATACACCACCGTTTTAACCTACCCTTATCTGAGAATGCCATAAAATCTACACAGGGGTACTGTACGTCTAAAACGAGCCACTGCTTCATTGAGATTCAAAGTTGCCGTTTACTACTTATAAAGTCGAGCTATAACATTGGTGGATATTGGTAGGGGCCAAACCTCATTGTCCGTCAATTCTTGAAGGTGGCACCACGGGACCACCATTATACTCCCAACTGTCTTCCACTGTATCTGTTCCGCCTACCGTTAACCCTGTACACACCACCATCTGTCTAGCCATGTACTAAGCCATTTTACCTATCGATTGCAAACCATTGCATTATATCCTCCCATTACACAGTGATTGTAAAATCATTTTCAACTGATATCTGAAATCTGAAAAAGGATTACACTAAGAGAAAAAACCCAACCTTACTCACCATCACCAACGGCGGCTCGTTCAGTCTATATAACAGCACATAACTAAATGTCTTATAGATCGCTTCAAAGAGTAATATCTCATAGTGGAACTCAACGGTTCAATATCCTGATCCACGAGGTGACTGGAATCGATAATGGTATTGTCATAGCTTTGGTGCATTGGCGTATCTATGTTCTGTTCCGCTGGCGGGACAATGGAGTCCTATAAGATATAGAGGGAATCTACAAACAGAAAGGCAGCTCTCAGTCTAACAATGAAGTGGTGGAGAAAAAGGATTTCCGGGTTCTCAGAAACTGTAAATGAGAAATGACGTCACGTAGGAAGAGTCCAAACAGTGGTTCTTTGTTCGTCGTTTGGAATCAATATGAGAATTGGTTTCGATCTACAAATTACTTTGAATGCTTTAGGTTAGGAGAAGGGAGACAATCGTTTGTTCTTCTTTTTTTTATAGGTCAGCTATACCAGTGGGTTGGGTATCTTCTATGTAAGATTTTATATTTTGGATTACACTTTCTCAGTAGACTACAGGGGCGGTGGGGTAGCCTAGTGGTTAAAGCGTTGGCTCGTCACGCCGAAGCCCCGGGTTCGAATCCCCACATGGGTACAATGTGTGAAGCCCATTTCTGGTGTCCCTCGCCGTGATGTTGCTGGAATATTGCTAAAAGCGGCGTAAAACCAAACTCAGTCAGTCAGTCAGTAGACTACAGATTCAAGAACATTTTCGGGGTTTGAGTGACACACTCGAACCCACCGCCCAGAGCGAGACACGCAGTTTCCAGCACACAAAGTCAGCGATCTAGCCCACGCAGCCAACGCATCTTCCACAAAAAAAGCAAGTCTGACAACTGGTAGTCTGGATCACGTACTCTGTGTATCCCTCTCACGAGCATTCCTACAGTGGTTCTGTTGATCAAATATTTAAAATTAAAATTAGGGGTGGGTATTGCAGAGAATTTTCATATTGCGATATATTGCGATGCGAAAGCATGTATTGCGATATGTATTGCATGAAGTATTTTTAAACAAAAACTACTTATAATCGAGTAACTTCTTGATTTATAGAGCAAAAACACAACAAAATCACTAGGCTTGATTAATTTTAATAACAACTTTTAATCATGATAAAATAAAAATGTGAATAATATTTGGCACAAATGAAACAAGGACATATCCGAACATTTTCGAGTGTTACGAAGTTTTCCGAATGCAAGTCAAAATACCGGTTTTCGATCAGCGCATCGCAATACGTATCGTTTTCATGTCTGAACCGGTAATAATGCGCAGCCCTAATCAAAATGTGAATTTGTATGTACTCATGACGGTGTGACTCATGACAGTGTGCAAATAGTGACACCTGGCGTGAACGCTGTATTCAGCGAACTCAATTGTCCCATCAGTATATTTAGCAACTTAATAGTAGGTGCGGACAGATGTCTTTGGAGGCTACTGGACGAGGATTGTTGAGTGGGACGCACTTAACGTACAACATGCCGTATGATTGAAAATTCGCCAAAAAATGTACAAATTAGTAAATAATTTAGCATGTTGCCAAAGGGGCATTCAACACTATGTCAAACATTCCATGTTTACGAAATGCACGTGCAGCACGTTGTCTGGCGAAATGCTCGGTCGACACTGCACTCATTGTAAAACAAATATATACATCACGTGATCAGATAACGTGTTCTGATTGAACAACAGTCGTTCTCTTGACAACGATTACCGTTGTATAATCAGAAAAATAATAATCATGTTGAATTATCCCTCCGGATTCGATATAAAAATCGGTTGAGTTTGTAAACCCTTGAACCCAACATCTGTTTCAAAAGAAGATAACGATCGTCGAGAAATAATCAAAAAGCTTCATCAAAGAAATATCCCGAAGTTTTAAAAACTAAACACTTCGACATCACACTACTATATCAATACATGCTTCGGGCAAGCAGTGTAAGAGGTAATTTTCAACACGACCATCTGTTCATCTAAGGGTGGGAGCTCAGAAACAACTGTGACGCGCGTGCATGTCAAAGTGGCCAGTAGAAACAAACAAAGCCCCAAGCTCCGCGCACCGACAGGTGGGTCTGCTTGTGTATTTATCTAGGCAAACATGGATTCGAATACACGTGTCGCGAGCTATTAAGTAACCAAACGGACGCCATTGTCTGTGGGACTGCGTATGTCAAAGCAGTCTAATGTGAGTGTACATATGTAGGCTTACTCACAGGAGCATTATTTGAACTACCTTGCCAAGAACAGACTGGTGGATTATGCGGCATCTAACCTATCATGGGAAGATTAACAGTGTCCAAAACCAACAACGGTTGAGAACGAGCTAGACTGGTTTCAGCTCCCCCACCCCCCCCCTCCGTTGAGTAACAGTATTTTAACATTAGATTGCTGACTTTGCATGCTCTCTCTCTCTCTGTCTGTCTCTCTGTCTGTCTCCTCTCTCTCTCTCTGTGCGTGCGTGCGTGCGTGCGTGCGTGTGTGTTTAGTTTTACGCCGCACTCAGCAATATTCCAGCTATATGGCGGCGGTCTGTAGATAATCGAGTCTGGCCCAGACAATCCAGAGATCAACAGCATGAGCATCGATCTGCGCAATTGGAAACCGATGACATGTGTCAACCAAGTCAGCGAGCCTGACCACCCGATCCCTGACTCTGAGAGAGTGGGTTCGAATCCCGGATGGGCCTCAACCCAAACAAAAGTACGGAAATTTGTACTTGCTGAGAAAGTGTAATTCCAAATATGACATTTGTTACATTTGACCACTTTCTAAACGGCATTGTGTATTCACATGTTAACAGTGATGCTTCACCTTAACCATACCGGTGGGTGAGTGAGTGAACCAGGTTCTTCACCGGTTTTATCAATGGTCTAGCCATATAACGATGGAAGTCAAAGATAAACGCCACCACGAGAAATGGTTGATTGGCGAGTCTGTAAGCCCCTCTCAAGATACAGATTTTCTGTACCGTCCATAGCCTACGTAAGTAATATTGTAAAGTTCTAAAATACCTTTTGGAACCAAAATTCATTAGAATTACGAGTTACAAACTAAAAGGGGGCGATGGGGTAGCCTAGTGATTAAAGCGTTAGCACGTCACGCCGAAGACCCGGGTTCGATTCCCCACATGAGTACAATGTGTGAAGCCCATTTCTGGTGTCCCCCGCCGTGACATTGCTGAAATATTGCTGAAAGCGGCGTAAAACCCAACTCACTCGCTCACTCACTACAAACTAAAACTGCTGTGAGACGTTAAGCTATGCTGGTTGTGAGAGGTGTTTAATGGATTTGGTGTCCATGTTCGGTGCCTTGGTCGACTGTGTCATCGTAACCTGACTGCGAGGATCGTTGCTCATCATGTCAGTCACAGGATTGTCTGGTCCAGACTTGGTTATTGTAATCGCTGCGTTAAACGATAAAGAAAGTCACGGGTTCGCGTGTACTTTAAGGGGCCTTATCAGATGGTTGCAGACTGGCTCTTTCTAGTCAACAAGGTGTTATTTGATGGGAAACATATAAGACAAGGCTTTTGTTAAGAGATAACTCTTCACCTCGCCAGCTGATTAGCCAGATAAACCCCGATCTCCTGGCAACCGATGAATTTGCTTTCTTGGCTTAACAGGCTGATGTTCGCGGAAGTAAGAAATAACATTATCTGGAAAAACAGGTTACGTTTGTTTTTGAATTTTCAACCATGAGATTTAATCTAAAAACAAACACTGGAATTGACTTCAGTGATTGAGGTCTTTTCCAATCTGTGTTTTACTGGGCGTGTCGAGGACTCATGGCTGACGTGGCTCGCTGTGCTGCCAACAAGGGATATTCGCTGCCTCATTACTATGTACTTACATAGTAGGATTGATTGGTCGGCTGTGCTGGCACCGGGGAGATAAGACGCTGATCTCTCTTGGCGGTGGAACACTTCATAAATTGTTCGTTTACCGCGGAGAAATACGGTGATTGCAAAGGTAAACGTTTAGATATAATGCTTTTTGAAGTCAAATGTAGCACATCTCCCATGATCCCGGGTATTATATTATTTTTTCTACTATTATTATAAAGACATAACCTAATGGTTCAAGCGTATGCTCGTCGCGCATAAGTGAGTGAATGAGTTTAGTTTTACGCCGCTTTTAGTAATATCACGGCGTGGGACACCAGAAATGAGCTTCACACATTGTAGCCATGTCGGGAATCGAACCCGGGTCTTCGGCTTGACGGGCGAACGCTTGAACCTCATGGCTACCTAGACTGTACTTAATACGAATATATGCTTATGTTGTAAAGCACCTTCTGATCTGGTTCAGGCAATATCATTGATTAAAGCTGTTAGTTGCGTTGCACAACATTTACGAACTTCCCTGATAATGCCCATGAACATCAATCTCACTAAAATCAGATCTTAGAGCTCGTTGCCGCTCCACTGAGATCTGAAGATGTGCTGTTACAGGTGACGTCAGAGCGACCTTTCATCAGTAGGATCAGGAAGTCCAGATGTGTTTTCTAATCGTATAACCACAATGCCTTAACGCGGGGCATTCCGAACCACAATTACGATGAACATTTGAAATTGAAGATACTATCCATAGCCTGGGGAAGTTACTGCCATACAATCTTGGACATGTAATTGACAGGCCTGATTTATTTTACAGTCTTCAAATTTTGAAGCGAGAACGTTGCCAAAATATTTTTCAAAGCGTGACCTGGAATGGAAGTTGCCATTTTGTAACTAGCGCAGTCGTTCTAGTCAACTGGAAATATGTTTACAACCCATTTATTCCAGATGAATTTACGTTTTTCACTTAATCACTTTGGTTAGAGGTTGCAGGTTCACCTTTACCTCGCCTTCTCACAAAACTAATTACAAACAAAAAATTCTGTGTAATGTGGGAAGAGTATTTGACGTCAGGACTAGTCTTTCATTCAGTGTTCCGCCCAGCCCAAAGTGAAGTAAGTCTAGGTTTTCCGGAGGTTCAAGTTCAGGCCGAAGCTGAGTCTTCCATCTCACTGGGGCTCATTTTCACTGTAAATGGATTTTATGTGTTCCTATCAAAACGATATATTTTCAGAGACTAAGCGTTAGTATACGCC